TGATGATGGCTGGCGAGTGGTAGTGGAGCACTGACTGCCAAATGGCAGCAATGTACCAAAAAGCACCCCCACAAAACAGGACACCCAGATACAAACTGGACACCCGGAAGTAAAGGCAGTGAATTATGGTTGGACGGCTCGTGTGCCGGAACCTGCAGGAGCGCCGGCCCCAAAAGGAAAACCAGAGGCTTTTTGAGGACCCGACGGGTTTGGACAAGGCCCTGGAGGAAGCAAAGAAGGCAGCAACGGAGAAGGTGGAGACAGAAGAGAAGAAAGAAGAGCTCAGAGTGGAGACACGGCGAGGTCCAAACAGGTCCGTGGCCGTGAACAGCAGAGGAAAAAGGAGGAGGAAAAGAAAAAGGAGACTCGCGGCCGAAGTCGAAGCCGCAAGAGGCGCAGGGGGAGGAAGAAAAGGAGAGATTCTTCAAGTGAGAGGAAGAGTGAATCAGGTCGAAGTGGATCTTCTGAGTCGTCGCGAGGTTTTCGACAGCCCTTTATTTGGGGGAGGACGAACTGTGGCGGCTCTCAAAGAAAAACCCCGGGAAACTGTTGAAAAGCGGGATGAAGGAGCTGAGCCGGTACCTGGCGAGTCGAAGGAGGAAGGTTTGAGCATCTCGGAAACGGGAGGACTTTTGGCCTTGGTGTGCGTGCGAAGTGGCACGAACCTGGGTGATTATCTCAAACGGTCCATCAAGCCGGGGTCCGACGACGGCAATAGCGGGAGAGAGTCAGGGGACTTTCGGAAGGCAAAAGGCCTTTCGCCACGCGCGACGAGCTGGATTGCTGGTCTGGCACTGTTTGACAGTGGTCCTGTTAAACTTTCTGTGGACAGGCGGAGGCAAACAGGCAAAAGTCCACCATGCCACTGTAGTGTCAGTCAGGCACGGGCCTTGGATCGAATATGGGAAACGGTGAAGGCTTTCGTTGACGGTAGTTCTGAGTCCAAGTCGAAAGTACCCCGCTCCCGGAGATGGGGGAATGGGGCCGAAAAATTGGAGATGTCAGGGTTTCATATCAGGGTGAGCGGCTGACATGCCTCCCGGGAAGAATGGGAGAAGATTGCGGCGGAGATGTATAAGCGGGCCTGGTGAAGACAGTCGAAGCTCCGGTGTTGGTCAGGGGTGAGTTCCTCGCGAATGGCAGTTTTGGAATAGTGAAGCCCGGCAAGTACCTTGATGACGAACGGCCGATCTTGAGGTTGATCATGGATTTCCGAGGAACGAACGCAGCAACTCGAGTACTGGAAGGAGATGTGAGAAGCCTGACTGGGGCCCCGGCCCTGCAGCATGTGGTACTTCCCGCGGGCAAGGTAGCGAGGATGAGCGCGGATGACCTGGTGTCAGCCTCTCCCGCCTGGTTGGCCTGAGATGATGACGTTTGCTAAAAAAGTAGCCTAGGGTGGAGCGAGAAGGAGAAACATACATAGGAGCGGCAGTGCTGCCCATTGGCTGGGCATCAGCAGCGGGAGTGCTACAGGAAGGTTGGCGCTCAGATCACCCTTGCAAGGTGGAGGTCTCCTGGGAAAACGGCGAGATAGCGTTTTTCCCAGCCTGGAGGAGGAAGAGAAGTTGTGGTCTTTGTATCTAGATGACACAAGCCTCTTCGAGATCATGGAAGCTCGGGTCGCAAAGGACCTGGAGGGGGAAACCTCAGAAGAGCAGGAAGCATTGCGGCATAGGGTTTTGCCTTTCATCAGCAGGCACTTGACCCCAGCAAAAAGTTCTCCTAAGGGGATAGCGTGCCTGATTTGTGGTTCCACCGGAGCTTTTCACAGTCCCTCCACCACCCTGGTCTCCTCCTGAGGAGGCTTGATCGGGTAGAGAGGGCATAGGGTTTTGCCTTTCATCAGCAGGCACTTGACCCGGCAAAAAGCGCGGAAAGGGCCAAGAGGTGGACCAGACAAAGTAAGGCAGAGAGATATATATATATATAATACATGACGTTTTTTTGCTTGCAAGTTCTAGCGATTCGACGGGCTCGCGCCAGTGCCAGTGCCAGCAAGATGACGAAGCGATCTCAAGCGGTTAAAGAGTGTTTCGGCACATTGTCAATTTCACACCTATCACAAGCCCCGTGCATGGCTAGCCACAAACAGCAGGGGATGCATGTTGAATGCTTCATGATGGATTCTTATCATGGCGAGACTGGCTTGGAAGGACTGTCGTCTCGAACTTTACAGACGACAGCCGAACTTTCCTTTTTGGCTTGCCTTGTTTGTTTGTTTGTCCGTTCCCAGGAGCTGCGTCCAGGCCTCATTCATGAGGTTTGTCAACCAGGACTTTCTCCGCTCTCGGTGGTTCGACAAGATGAGGCTCCACGCGAAGAACTTGAAAGCCATGTTGAGAGAATGAAAGACAGCAAGCAAAAGCAACAGTCGCTGGCGTTACGGTTTGCTTGAACTACTTGGACTTGGTGCATCTGGATCATCTGGACGATGCCAAAATTTTGGAGCCAGGCCTAGAGCCAGACTGCTTTCGTCCGTTCCCTTCTGGAATGAACATACCAATCGGCAAATTACTGTGTATATATATAATATATAAACTCCGAGTTTAAGCAATTTACAGACACAACAAAAGGAGTAATTTAAAGGATCATCATGTCCTGGTTTACAGAAAGGCCCACACGAATTTGTTCGTTTCCGCTCTAGGAAAACGAAGAACGCTTTGTTTTGTTCACGAATTGAAATTTTAGCTTTTTCGGAAATAGAGTTCGTCGAGAGTCAAGGGCAGTTCAAGATTGGAGGGGGATGGTATTTGAGGGTAGAGAGACCGCGTGGCCGGATGAAGACTACTTTCCTCATTATTTTTGGACCGACCCCAAACTCCAGGCTTGTTTGTTCGATCAGCAGAAGTGTTTGATGTCAAACAGAAACAAGTTATACTGTAACATGTTATACCAAACTCACACATCTTCAAACTACTTATATAGTTGTTCAGGTAGTCTCCAGGACGTTATGTTCAATGGCAGTGCCTCAAAATGAGCGGCTTATTGGTCGCGTACCAAGTTACCAAACAATTTCTTTACATACGCACTGGGGCCGGGCCCGTTAGCCCGTCAAGCCCGTCCAGGTCCCGTGGAAGGCCCGTCGAGAGCCCGTCGGCCCGTCAGGCCCGTTAGGCCCGTTGCGCCCCGTTAGACCTGTTGACGGCCCGTCGCTCGTGAGACCCCATATGTATCAGAGCGTTGAAGGTATATACGTAGTACCAACGTCGCAATGATCCCTCACCTGCGAGTGTTGCGCGTGGTTCTGTGACTCGTTTGTCCACGTAGGGAGGAGACTCGTTTGTGCGCGTCTGTGCGCCTTGGCTCTGCTGCGTGTGAGAAATAGACACGCTAAAGTCAGCCGCGTCTTTTCCAAACTTGGGCCCCCTTTGTTGGTAGCTGGCACGGGGGTTTGAGTTGCGCGTGGCTATTCAAAGTTTTCTCCGGGAGGCTCCTCGCGGTTTATTGCGCAGACGCTGCGAGTGAGTCTAGAGTAGCGCTAGCAACTCTCAACCTTGTGTCTGCCATGCTGCAGCGTGGGATGAACTTGCCCCAGCCCAAAGATGAAAAATTGCGTGGCGACTGCGGATGAAATTGCACTGATTCCCCACCCCCCATGCCTGACAGACCATGTGTGCGCATATAAAGCGTTGTAGAGCGGCGTGTGCGTGGATGAGGTTTGTGCAGTGTGTGCGCAAATAAGTAGCGTGTGCGCGATTGAGGCGCTGTCCATATCTGGGATGTTAGAATAGAAGAGTGGGGTTAGCAGATGCTTAGCAGTTTACCAACCATGCTGGTGCTTTTTGTTTCTAGCTTTGGAACCTCGTGCCAAGAATCATGGCTGTTGGCGGGCCCGTTGAAGGTCCCTTGCCACGTTGCCACGTTGCCCGTTGGGGGCCTGTTGGGGCCTGTTGGGGGCTTGTTGGGCCCGTGGGGCCTGTTGGGCGCATTGGGCTTGGCTTCAGTAGGGATAGTAGGGGCTCCCTCTGAGACAGACATCCAAACAAGAAATTTGCTGACATTACGGACAGGACTACGCAGGTTGTTCACTTGCTGGATTGCTCAGTTGCTTAAGACCAACTTGTGCCTTGAAACTGTATTGACAGATTGGTCCATGGTCGCAAACAGGAGTCTTAAGAGCATCGCTGAAACAAAACATGTCAAATGTCACAACGCGGAAAAAGGCGCAGAACACTGCGCCAAAGTAGTAGCTGTTGTTTCAGAGGTGCAAGGTCAGGTGAATCACAGCAGGCACGTTTTGGAAAGGAACAGCAGAGCAAAGAAGCGCAGAAGGGACAGAATGACAAGGGAATATAAACTGACGCGATTGGGACTATCAGATGAGGTAAGGAATTGTGGCGGGCTTCATTTGATGATATTGCCGCAACGGCTGCTCCAAATTCTAGAGTTCCAAAGCAATCAGTCCTGTGTGATCTCCAAGACAAGCGCACTCTAGCTAAGTTGGAGATGTTTATTGAGATGCAAGTTTATTTATCTCTTTTGCTTTCCTGTTTCTGTTTTGGTTGTGCTTGCTGGCAAAATGGGTCAAAACTGCACCGCCCCTCTCGCAGAAATAACCAGGCTAGCCAGTGAACATATTAGACATATTATGAGGGTACACGTGGTGATAGCAGCGCATGTTCCCTGAAACTTGATGACCACCGAATTGATCACGGGTTTTTGAAGGCAGCAATCCAGCGCCTGAGAGCTGCAGCAGAACGCTTGACAAGCGTTGGTCCAAGTCCAACTTGAATTCATGTATTCGGACGTTGCTCAGATCTTTTGCTCGATTGATTGAGGCAGTGAGCCTTTTGAGTGTGCTCGCTGGGCATCGATCTTGGATTTGCAAGGTCGACACGTTGAAGCTCAACAAGTCCTGAAGGACAAGCTGGAGAACTCTAGAACTCTAGAAGCCCGAAGGATTTGCAAACTGTGCAAGTCTGAAGCTTTGCTTTGGAACTTCTTTCGACGAATATCCATCAGTTTCCTTCATGCTCTCAAGGAGCGATGCGCAAATGAAGCCAGACCAGGTCGAACCTTCAAGCAGCCCAGAGTTGTCAACTGTTCACTCCATTGCTCGCCAGGGCATTTTGGAGCAATTCGTCTCTTGACACATATGATTCAGCGTCATGTACAATGGCAAGCGGAGCGAGCTCGTCTGGAGCAGGAGATGGCAATGTCGTTTTGCTGTAAGATAACCACCGTCTTACTCTTGAGCCCCAGGAGAACAGGCCCAGCAAGGTTGTTCCAGTGGAAATCCTGCCGGCAGAAGTTGGGGCCACAGAGAGCATGTGCTTTATACAGCAGATTTGCAGCTACAACTCTCCAGGTTTCTCGAGAAGAGCTCTGGAAAAAGTTTGTCCAACCAGGATGGGAAGACAGGGAATGTACAGCCAACCGCATATACACATATACATATATATATATATATACAATTAATATATATATATATATGTATAGAAATATAATATATACATAGGCATATAATATATACACATATATGTAATCTTCTTTGTGAGATGAATTGCGCGAGTGTTCATCCGCGGCCAATTGGGTTTATAGGGTCGCACGACGGCGTTGCGTGTCGTTGTGCGCTCGTTGCCGCAGGTTTCCTCTGTCAGGGGCACGTGGCGCCTGGCGTGCAGTGGGTGGGAGGCTCTGGGCGCAGAGCTCTCGTTCACTTGGCCGGCGGCCGGCCTTCGCGCGATCGCGACTGACGTGGTCGTGCCCGCGGTCAGGCAGGTGAGGGGTGGCCCCCAAGGAGGAAGATAGCAGCGGTGGTGAGTCAGGGGAAGAAGAAGAGTGAGAGCGAGGTGACGCGCGTCCCTGGCTTTACACCGCGAGGTCAGGGCCTTTTGCCCAAGGGAAGCGCCCCAAAGCCACCTCATCAACCTCGACACGGAGATCCTCGACAAGAAGGCCCGGCGGCTGGTGAAGGTACCGAGCCTGGCAGGTCATCGGGTATTGAGAGGAGGAAGAGTGACCGAGGAGGACATAGGAGTCACCTCAAAGAGTCCAAGCGCTCGGACAAAAAGCGCCGCAGGAGGAAGGGAGATCCGACTCATCGTGCAGGATGTAAGCGCAAGCGTCTGGCGGGAGGGGACGAGAACCCGGGAGGAGACGAGAACCCGTTCGTCCCCTTGCATAGGAGCTTGGACAGGCGTCACTTCGAGTTTAACCCGGAGGCATCCATTGCTGGGTTACCTCCCAGATCAAAGAAGCGATGAGCTTCATCCCACGAGGCTGAACGAACTGGGAGGAGACGACGAGCGCGACCAGCCGATCACCTAGGGCATGAAGGTGGTCACGTCTTGGCGCACGCTGGTACAGGCTGGAACCATCAGCCGGCAGAGCGAGGGAACTGTTTCTGCTCGCAAACACGATAGATCTCCTGAGGACCGGCAGATTAGGAAGAGTCGGAGATGCCCTAGCCGCGAGATGGCTTGCACTAGAGCAAGCAGCTCTGGACAACAATTGGAGTGCGGCTCGGCATATGGAAATTCACACCACCGCGGCGGGACCAGCGGTCACGCTGGCGGCGAGAAAATTCTCCAAGTTGATGGAGAAGGTCTCAGGGCAAGACGACAAGAGAAATCGCCCTCAGGGCAAAGGCCGAGGGCCGAGACTTGGGACAGCCACCAGAGGACACGGAAAAGGGGAAGGGCAAGGAGTCCAAGACAGCTTGAAAGCGCCCTCTTTGAAATGGTTGCCGAACCTTTTGGCTTTGGCTTCGCTGACCGAGCTAGGCCTCGGACTACATTTCTCCGTGTTTCAAGGGAAATACAGAACAACTGCACCGCGCCAGAGCTATGTGGTCGCGAGAAAAAGAGGGCCAGCAGACACGGGCCAAGCGCTCAAACAAAGAAGTGTTCCCATTACCTTCTATTTGGACTGATGAGCTTGCTTCTTTTCCTTCGTTTTCTTCATTTAATGAGTTGTTTGAAGCAGTTGATGATTTGCAACGTTTTGCAGTGGCATGTTGGTGTGAACTTGCTGTGCTTTTTGTCAATAATTTGAGTGGCGGTAAAGCTGTTTTCGGTACAAACAAACCCACACATCCTCAGAGGGAGATGCTCGCCTCCATTGAAGCGTCGGTACGCAGGGTATTAAGTGATGACACTAGAGTGGACTGGGGTGCTCGGGAGATTAAAGAGGACTTTGGTAAGAGGACGGTAAGCTACACACGTGAGGAGGTTTGCTTGGCTGAGCCCCTCAGTCTGGATCGCATCGTGCCAGGTTTGCCCCCAGAGGGGCATGGTGGTTCTGTCGACATAAGGAGTTTTGTTGGTGACAGGACCCGTTGGCTGTTGCAACACGCTGGACATTGTGTTGCGCAAAGTCTCCCTACGTTGCAAGGCAAGGTACATATTGTGGCAGGTCAGAGGCTGATGATTGCGAAGGAGTTAGTTCGCCGAGGGATCTGCAAATGGACTGCTGCTGAGAAGGTATTCCAATTTAGGGGTGAGAAGGTGCTGAATTGTTTGTTTGGAGTGCGTAAGAGCAAAAGGCGGCCCAGTGGAGAATGTGTCGTCCTTCGGTTGATCATGAACTTGATTCCCAGCAACGCAGTCCTCAGGGTCATCCCAGGTCGTGTGGCATCTCTTCCCAGTATTACCCAACAGGTTTTCCTTGCGTGGATGTCAGCTCCAGTTCGGGCACATCGTCAGAACGTAGCAGGACCCTCGAGTAGCTTGATTCATGAGGCAATCCGGGTCTTTGATCAGTGCGCTGAGTTGTACCCACATGCTGAGTTCAAGTTTTTTTGTGAAGAATGTGGCCAGCATGGATGTGGAAGTACGAGATCAGATCTCTGATTTGCTAGGTGTTACTCCATACAAAGTTGATCCTTCGAGACAGGTGCTCAATTCCAGACCTAGGTTTTGTTGGACAAACCAGAGTATGGAGGAGCTTGAAGGTCTTAGGTTGTGGGATTATGGAGGATACACTGAGATCGAAGTCGACGGAGAGTGGCCCGACCCCCGGCAATGGATCACTCCCGACTGGGTACAAGATGATCCGACTGCTGTATACCCGACATTCATGAAGGCCATAACCGCGGCCTGCGGGCCTGTTGCGAACAGACTGGAAGACACAAGCTCGGTGGCGGTCGGAGAACTTCCGGTTTCCGCCTTACCAATACAAAGCAAAGTACCTTGTGAGCCATCCCTGCATCAAGCATGCCAGGCTCCTGAATGCTGAGGAAAGGGAAAGGCTTATGGGGTACGGTCATGGGCGCACTGCGGCGTCAACAGCAAAAGGCAACGAGTCCAAGTATGAGGGCGAGAGGTGTTCTTTGGTTGGTGACGATTCGTTGTTGGTGTGGTCCTTTGTTCTGTTCGCGGCTAGCGCGGTGAAGAAGTACACCGGTACGTTTGATGTTGCATTGCTGTTTGCCAGAATGGGACTCCCTCCTGGTTGTAGGCTTCCTCATGGGCGGTCTGGGGTATCAGACCTTAACAGACATCTGGCTGCACGGGTACGTCTCACGGGAAGTGACGTCCGTATTTCCACAGGTCAAATCATGATTGCAAAAACATAGCCCCGTCAAAGTGTTCAGGCAGGTTGGTGGAGACGGAGGCAGCTCTTCCAGAATCGTTGGGCTTTGAGCGAGCGCATTAATGCCCTCGTGATGAGAAGTGTGTATTTAAGTGTTTTGTGGAAGTGTCTAAATCATCAACTGTGCAACCGCAGATGTTTTCACCTCAGCGACTCGTACGTCACCTTGTCCACACTTTCAAAAGGCGGACTGGGAGTCAAAAACTTCAATTCATTACCCGCAAGATCAATGCACTTCTTTTAGCTTCCCATTGCATTTTGTATTTGGCACACGTTGACTCAGCCGATAAACCTACGGATGAAGGCTCCCGCGCCTGATGTTCTTCGCCGACTGCGACGCAAGAGACGACAGGGTTTCTCGTTGCGTGACAGGTCAATTACCATGAAGACACGGGTGAGATACTTTGTTGCCGTGACGGCTATTCTCCCCGCATTGGAGGACACTTGTGAGCCCCTGGAAGATTTCCTGGTAGAATGGATCGATCAGGAATATGTGCAAGGAACGGCCATCGCTGACACCCTGTCGGGACTCCACCACTTCATGCCCTGGTGTAGGAGGATCAGAGCTGCGTGGAAGTTGTGTGGACTTTGGAGGCGCATTGAAAGGCCCAAACAGGCCCCTCCGTTGCGTGTTGAAGTGGCGGCTGCCCTAGTTGGGCGTGCTTTGGAACCTGAGAACCTACGCCTGGCCTTTTGTCTATGCCTTGGCTTTTGGGGAATGCTCCGCGCAGGAGAACTGTTTCCCATTAAATGGCGGCGTCTCCTAGTCTGCCAAGAGAACATGATCGTTCGGTTGGGGGAAACAAAAACAGGAGTGCGACGACAAGTTGACGAAAACGTCGTGGTTTCTCATGTTCCTTCCCGGCATGATTGGTGAAACTTTGTTATCCCTTCGTCCCCCACCGCATAAATTGGTCTGGAATCGCCCTAAGAGCGAGTTTCGGGAGGAATTCAGGCGATTGTTGAAATTCTTTCTCAAAGCCTCCTTTCAGCCGGGGAGGCCGCAGAGGATTTTCGCCTCCATGGCCTCATGGAACGATCCCTGTTAAAGGGGCGTTGGGGCTCATCAGCCGCAGCCCGACAGTATATCCAGGAAGGTTTGAGCATATTAACCAAGCTTTCCCTGTCCAGCACCGCCCTGCGGTTGGTCACCACTTACAGTTCCATCCTTGGTCCTGCCTTCAGCAGTCCCAGCACAGGGGACGTGGAAGGCTGACTTTTGAGTCAAGCAAATCAAGCAAAAGCAGTACAGATCGGCTTGCCAACATAGCCGTACTTGTTTCAATAAAGCACTATAGAGGCAAACCGGCTTGCCAAGATAGCCGTGTCGGTGAATGCCAATTTGAGGCAATGGAGCCCAGGGGTGGCTAAAGACCTTTATATATATATATATATATCATGTGAAGTGAGGCATGCAGCGCAAGAAGCGCTAGCATGAAAAACCTACAGTGTGCTGGCCGTAAAGGGATGATGTTCGAGTGCAATAATATACAATTTATAGAAGATGTATGGGCTTCTGTCAGCGTGGCATTCATGCCTTATTGAATTGCGTAGGACCCTCTGGAATGCCGGGGTTGTGCCTATATAGCTTGGCAGTCCTGGACTGCAGTCAAAACGCATCCAAGTTACAGGCACAGTGTCAGTGTATGACATGCTTTCGGGTAAGGCGCATGTTATGACTTGAAGGCCATTTAATTCGAGACTGCGTTGTTTGCATTAATCGTGCTGTCAACAGCTAACAAGCAACAAAGATGCTACGGTTGTACGACGGATGGGAATTGAATGGCACTGACGGGATAGAATTTGATGACTGAACTGTTGTTTCGTTACTTTCGCTTTGGGCGCTACAGCGCCTGCGAGGTGAGTGTGGTATGGTCCAGTGTATTCAAACAGCGGAACAATTTGGTTCCTGAAGCTAGGGTGCTTGGAAGGGCAGACAACTGAAAGCGTTGCAAGGCCTGCTGAGGATTCCCTGTTCTTGCACAAATCCATGACGCGCACCAATTGCAGCAACATTGTAAAGCTGGTTTGCTCAGCTGGTAGCGTTCAGTTGTGAAGTTTGAAGATGTGAAGGAGTTCCGTGCGTGATTCGTGGTGCGGGAGTGGCTTCATTTCGGACCCTTGATGATTTGAAAGCCATAAGCAAGGCACAGGCGGGAAGACATGTCAACGCAGACACAAATAACAAGCAAGATCAAACAAGATAGACGTTGTAAGCAAATAATGCAAGGCACCATGTAGAACATGCAAAGGCCCAACTTCGCCTTGCAACTAGTTCGCTCTGCAACCACTGAATATTGATGATACAAAATACCTTTTCATGCTGGCTCACTGTTCTTGGAGGTGCCTGTTCGTGGCTGTGACGAAGCTTCAGCAAAGTGGGCTCGCTTGGAGTTTGTGGGCGTGAAGCGCTTCGATGAATTTCTGCAAGTATCGACCTGAAAATTGCATGACTTGCCATGGCTCTCAGCATTTGCCTGCTGTAAGGCTCACATAGAGCCTTATGATAGTCTCATTCCCAGGACTATTCATTGTCATAGTTTGCTGCAACGCAGAATTACGAACACTGGTGAATGAAATTATGAGGATTGGACGCTCCTCGAAACAGCCCTCAACTCTTTGACTATTCCATATGGCAGCAACTTGATTCTCAAAGCCTTCCCAGTCGTGTTTTGTCATTTCTGAAGCTTTCCTGTTTGTGCTACGTTGCATGTTGCATTCCATCGGTGCACCCAGGCACTGTGCTGAATCTCTTGGCTCCCAGGCGAGACATGCTGCAAGCTTGACACATTCTGTGCATGCTGCTGCGTATTTTTGGATTCTGGATAGAGTTTTTGTGCTGCGACTTTGTACTAGGAAACATGCAGGTCTCTATGCCAAGCAAATGGTTTCCGGTGGACTTGTATACATATGCGGCTGCTCAAATACAGCCAGCGCATCTCTCAGTCTCAGCATCCAATGACCTGCTGCTCTTGAGAATACCAGGGTTCTCGAGGGTTCTGAGCAAGATTCCAAGGTCACGGGATCAGCTGGTCCAACACTTTTTGTGGCTCCACGCGGATCGGGCTCATCTTTGCACGTGGATACACTGCAGAAGCCCAGTTGCACAAATAGAAAGCTTGAAGCCCTTTGTTTATTTTGCTCCCCATTGCCCCAATTCTTTAGGACAAACTTTTGGATGGCCAGACTCTCAGTACACGGACAGCTAGCTTGACATGTGGTGTAGAGGAGCCATATTTCATGATGAATTGCGGGCAGGAATTACTCGATACTAATTTAAAGCACAGGTTGGGTGAGAATGCTTCCGTTGCAAGTCGGCGACTGCTTTGGCCTGGGTGGTCTCAATTTGTGTGGTTCACACCCGTTTGGTAATCCAACATGTCCTGCAACCAATTTGTTTGTTTGCTTGTTTGTTTGTTTGTTTGTTACATATATCATATATTTAAAAATATACACACATGAAGTTTATGGCAATAATTGTACTGTATGCTCAAACCTCGGTTCCCATGATCCCACATGTCCAACATGAACGAACACCCTGGAAAATATGCTTTTGAAAAACGTCTAGGTCAACAACTAAGGATTGGCAGCCCATGTTATGTTCGACAAAACACCGTGACAACAAGTTATTATTCTTGGATGTGGTTTGAACTTGAATGTGGCGGTACTTGCATGGAAAGGCAAACAAAAAATTTGGGAGTGCCCCCATTCAAGTTCTGAACACATTTTTTCAAGTTTTCTCCACCCGGTGTAGGAGCTGCTAGGAGAGAATGGTATTGAATGGTAGTTCAGTGAAAGTTCAGTGCATGGTGTATGTTTAAAAGAAAGGGCATCGTTTGCCTTTTGCCTTCCCCTTGTGTTCTTTTCGCACGTATTTCCTTCGTAGCTTCTTCCCCCCCCCCAAGAATGAAGTGGATTTTGGACATTCTTGCCTTTCTGAAAATTGGTTCGCTGGAAACATCAGGTGATTGTAGATTGAACTGAACTCATGGAGGAACTCGTCAGAGAGTTCACCAGAGTCCTACCATGTATACAAAATATACATAACTATATATTATATATATGCTATCCCCTGAAAAGTCTACCTTGCGAGCATTGGAATGTCTTCTAAGTAGACATGTTGAGCCTTGGAGATCAGGCACTACTTGAAATAAAAACAACATAGTGTCACAGTCACAGGATCCGTTTGCAAACGTTTGCAATGGGTGACCGGTCCCAAATATGCCAGAATATCAATCACATAATGCAGATAATTTATATTGGAGCCATCTTTCAACGCTTGATTGTCTTTTTGTCAGATACTGTTGGAGCATAGTATTTGGCAATTTGGTGGCTGTTTCTTTTTCAACTTTAAACGCATCATAAAGTGTCCGTGTTTCAACATCTATACTCTTCTGGCTCTTGCTAGTTCCCTGCCTTTTCCAACATCACTATATTGACATTAACAATAACTTTTTTGCCTTTGTATCTTCATGCTGCTTATGTGAAATGTCACGAAAGCCAGCGGATAGGCTAGGCTGGAGTTGGGATGGGCGAACGAAGTGCGAAAAGGGGATGTGGGGGGGTGGCCGCAGGAAGACCAATTTCGGAGGGCGAACCCAGAGCCTGGTGGAGGAGAGCGAAAAAGCGAGGGGCCGATTTGGATTGAACATGTATGGTTTTTGGGGTGTTGTGATGCAAGTGATGTAATTGACGGCGAAGTGTGCATCATTAGCAGTAGCATGATGAGGGGCTCAGGAGGCAACCTGAAGCGTTTTCTAGGTGGGAGTTCATGTCGATGATAGGAAAGAGGAGACAACGGGACGCGAAAAGTGGTGGGAACCCCTCCAGGAAAGGGAGATGCGGGCCTCTGGTGGCGACTGAAATAGGTGTGCGACCAGCAGTAAGGGAGGTGCGTGAGTTATTTTTGTCAAAGATGTACCTTTTTGGGGGGCACATGGGGGTACCATATATAATCACGCGTCGGCGAAGGCGCCTTTGTCGACTTGGAAACGGCTACATAACTCAAGCACGCGTAAACGGTCTTCGCAGGGTCATGCACATGGAAGCACAGGCTCCCCTGCCACTTTTTCTACAGTGGTGCACGTGCGTCCTCCTCAAAGGAAAAACATCAGAGCCCTCAGCTCGAGCGTTCCGTTCATCATCTCCTCCAAATAGTTCGCTCATCGAGAAAGATTCAGATGACTTCTGCCCTAAAGCCTTCAACTCCACATAGAGATAGTCCATCCCAAATGAAGCAGCCGACGAGAGTGGGGAGTAGAACGAACAAGCTGGAGTTGGCCGTCTTGAACACTGTCTGCCCGCAATAATCTGCGGTGAACCGCGCGAGCGGTTGGCGCGCGTGTTCCGGTGGTCCTGGAAATCTGCTCCCCAGACTTTAAAGAACGCTGCTCAATCAACCTGTGGGCTTGAGGTACTCACCCGTGCAGCAACACTGGTCACCTACATAGGGTTTGACATCTTTTAACTCCAAAAGGCGATTGACCGAGCCATACTGCCAAATTCATGAAGATCCGTTTTTTGAAAAGCAACAAGGCCAGCTGTGCTGAACAAGACGACAAATAGGCTTCACCTTCAAAAGTCCTTCTGGAGTTGAATCTGAACGAAGTTGTCTGACCCTTGCAAAACGATCCCTCCTCCTCGCTTTGGAGAAGGTCTTGCAAAACCACACCATGATGTGCGCCCAATGAACTGCCTTCTGCTTGATCCTTGGTCGTCAATTGTTTGAAAAAATGATTCCACAGCAAAATTCCGCCAACCGACACACATTCGCCTGTATGGATCTTGCCAGGCCTGTGAACACTGACACGACCCACTGGCTGTGTCAAACCAGCTTCACCAGCAAATAGCTCCATGAGCGTATGTCATTGTCTGCACTGCCGCCCTTCCACCTTAGGTGGCCATGGGGTAGCTGACTGCTCAACGACAACTTGATCCACGATTCCTCCTCCACGCAACCTCGATCTCCGGCTGACTCTGCACGGATCTCCGTGAAGACAATCTATTTGATAGCTGCCAACGCCACTTGTCGCATTTATCGCCCACGACCCAGCGTAGCAAATGCTCACGCCAGTCTTGCTTCTGAAGAAGCGGCCATCTTTGCACTGAGGATCGAACCCTGTCTTCTGGGTCAACGCTGGTTCGTCTGCATGCCTTTGATGTGTTCAATGCCCGCAACATTGCTGGACGACCAGACTCTTTTGCCCAGAACCCACGCGGCTTGCGCTAGCTCTGATCACTGAGTTCCACGGCTGTGAGGGGATGAACGCTGGCAGCGCAGGGTGTGTAGCGTGGAACGCTTCTTCCTGCGGACCCAAAGCGTCAGTTGGGGCTGCCACATGCCCCTGGTCCTGATTCCGGCAGCATAGGTCTAAGAGTCTAAGGTCGCAGCTGAAGCCAACCGTGTCATCACTGCAGCTGCACGAGGCGTCGAGGTTCGCCGCTCCAGGAAGCCCCACAGCCTTCCATTGGCTTAACCGTGTGGTTCCCACACAGCCATATCCACGCAGGGAGTCTGACCACTCTGGATCGTGTGACACAAGCAAGCTGGGCATCTCCACTTAGAAACCGCAGCCCTGGTCAATGATCTGCCTCATCTTGAGCTTGAGCTTCGCATCTTCCAGTCGTGGTCCCATCTCCACGGGTTGAAAGGCCACATCAACATATAGGGGCGTGCCTATTGATTGTTTAGGGCGGTTAGGGTGGGTCCATTCTTGTGTCCATGTGGGCTCAAGACTGGCGAGAGGGAACCACCAATTATCGTTAGGTTGAGGGGGTGGGTGATGGAAGGGCTGATCCCAGACTGCGCCGGAGTGCGGGCCATGCTCAGTTCAGCTCGTGGCAGATGTTTGCAATTGTTCCAGCCAATGTGTTCAATCAGCCTTTGGACAGTGGCAAAGAAACCGTGCAACAACATGTCAAAAGCAACGCGCGTTTTCCGGAAATAATGTTCAATCCCGTACATACATCCTATTAAAATGAAGTTGATATTGAAATCCTAAACCAGTGTATATATAACAAACCCACCGGCTAGGAAACGTCATAGCTTTCGAAAGCCAGCCTTGTTAAGAAGATATTAACATGGCTATGGGGGGTGAATTGGAGAGTGCGCCGCAAGCGCTGTCGGGAATGGGGCAATCAAAGGCAGAGGTGGAAAGTCGCAGTAAAGACCGATACGACAGGCTCTCATTCACAGGTCGGGGGTCGCCCCTTTTCCTTGCCTCAAGGGGTGTTTTCAAGAGATAAAAGGGCGCCCTTAAGTAATTGAGGGGCGCTTGCCTGCACTTGTTTTGTTTTGTCTGGTAGATAGACGCATAAAGGCAGCGTGCTGCTAAGAGTGGACCGAGGAAAGTGGGCTGCCAAGAAAAGATGACCGTTGTTGTGGGGGGACGTCGACATTGCAGCGATGCTACTGCTGTTGCAATAGAGAGCAGAATGCAGAGGTCAGGGGGGACGTCCTTTTTTCTCCCGGTTCACGGACGTTTTCAAGTTGAAAAAGGGCAAGACGGACACAATGACCAACAAGAAGGGAGACAAAAGGAAACAGAAGGGAGACAAGGTAGAGACAAGGCGGAAACGATCACCAACAAGAAGGGAGACAGAAGGGAGACAAGGCGGACACAGTGGACACAGTGACCAACAAGAAGGGGGAAGGCGGCTGTCCCGCAGCAAGGGAAAGAAAAGGAAACAGAAGGGAGAAAAGACGGACGCGGTGACCAACAAGAAGCGGACGCAATGACCAACAAGAAGAGGGAAAAGAAGCCAGACAAAAGGAGACAGAAGAGAGACAAGGCGGACACGGTGACCAACAAGAAGGGTAGACAAAAAGAAACAGAAGGGAGACAAGACAGACACGCTTCCCCGCTGTTTGTTTGTCGTGTCCTGTAGATGGAAGCCTTGGCGTGCAAGATCAAGTGATTGGCTAACATGGGGCAAAGAGTGCTTTTATTTTGGGTCGAAGTTGACATTGCGGCCACGCCGATAGGGAGTGATAAACTCGTGCCGCCAAGAGCGGATCGAGGGAAGTCTACTGCAAAGGTCATGATCATGCGATTGCCAAACATTGAGCAAAGATTGCTGTGGGGCTCCCATCGCTGAGGCCAGCGGCTATCGGCTGGCTTTCTTCCCAAGTATATGATTTTTGTATTTTCGCCCAAAAACGTCTTTAGGTTGACAGGAGCAGTTGCACCCAAATGCAACGCAGTCGTACATCGCCCCAGCGCGCCCCACCAGACCCGAACAGCTGCGGTGCTCGAGCTCTAACTGAGCAATGAAGAAACCAAGTTCCATAGCTTACCTAAGGTAATGACGCAACCAGCACTTGTCTACAACCTCCTCAATAGGCCGTGAAAAGAGATCAATATGGTCATGGGGGGTGAATGCGGATTCCTGGTGCGCCTATCCTGCGCATGAGTTCCCACTCCATATGGGGTGCCCTTTTGCGGTCAACAGGCCTCTTCGCCATAGAAAAGGGCGCCCCAAGCAACTCAAAGCTTGCCCGCTGCATTCTGTTCTCCTTCCAGGCGCCCCATATGGGGTGCCCTTTTGCTTGGTTCGGGGACGTCTTCATCAGAAAAAAGGGCGCCCCCAAGAAATTCAACGATTTCTTGCAATGAGTCTTTGCCGACCGCGTCCTCCTCCGCTACGCATGTCTTCCACATGAACTCCCACCCCGCAGAGGGCGCCCTTTTGTGTATGGTTGGCAGGCGTCTTTGATATTTTTGTTGGGGAGGTAGGCTTTCAAAACCTATGGGGTAACTGTGCTTACACGGGTTACTTGGCTATCCAGCTTGCGTGCCCATTTTTAGATTGACTCGTTTTTTTTTTGCGCCCGTTGCAACTTGGAAGTTTCCTGAAAGCCTTCCCGAGTTTGTTTCCACACCACACAACACAGAAGTAAGGGCAAATCCGTGCGTGCGCAACCTTCAAAGCGCTGAGGCCCTGTGCTCTGGCCGGAAGCGGTGGCGGCTGGTCAACAGAGTGGGGTTGCGAACAGTTTTCTGCTGTTGTTACCTTGCAGTTTCGTGCGCCTTAGGATGAGATGTCTTTGCTGCGCCCGCTGTACTTGGCAGACTTAAATCCAGTGTTTCCGATGGATTTAGAGGAGTGACGCAGCCTAACATTGATAGTCAAGACCGCCATACCTTAAGCCTTAATCTCTGGAATTACCAGGACGGTCAGGCCAGGGGTGCCGGGGTCTCAGCAAATCGTTTGCAAGCGCATTGTGGCGCAAACTGTTTGTGGGGCCCGACTCGAAGAGGTCAAAGTTTACGAAACCATTTTGGAAGCTGACGATTTGATCTTCGTTCCTGCTGGGTGGCCTCATCAGGATGGGTCACCAGACCTGAGTTCTTGTATGTTTCTTTTGCATGTTTTGCTTTGTCGCCCCATTTGGAAGGTCGACAATTTGGAGACTTCAATGGCTATCAGCTCCAACTTTATCGTTTGTGTCTTAAACAAGTTAAGTGTGGATGACAACAGCCACTCAGCGAGACTGAAAATGTGGGCTCTGTTCAAGCGCAGTGCGAACAGACAATTGAGTCTTGCTTGGTTGCTATCACCGCATAGCAATTTGTTCAGCTCTAAACCAGGTTGAAGCGAGCCCTCAAAAGTCAATGCGCGTGACGCGTGCAGGATTGTATTTGGCTCCTCTATCCAGCCCTGATGACGTGTCCATTAGGACATATGTAAGAACCTAAGTCCCCTAGAATCCCAGATCGTTTTTTCTAGGGAACTATTTTATATATACATTTATGTTGCCCTAGCATTTGCTTGAAATGTGCAGATTGAACATGTTTATTTGCGTTTTGTAGGAGGTAATTTGAGAGAGATGATGACAGGTGATTGCCTTTGGATTTTTCATGTTTAAGTGAAAGAAATGCAGCGTACCCACAAGTACCGCCGGACACCTACTTTGCAGGCGTCTAAATCAACAGAAAAGAACAAGATCAAAAAACAAACAAAAACACGATCAATACACAATAAGAATAGAATCAAACAAATAATCCTGAGTAGCTCCCCTAGTCCATTGGTCCCCTCGACCCCTAGTCCATTAGTCGCTTGGTCTTTTGGTCCCTGGTCCTTTGGTCCCCTGGTCCTTGGGTGCCCTTAGTCCTTTGGTCCGCTGACCTTGTGGTCCGTTGCTCAAAACAAGACGCTTGTGAAACCCAGACAAGCTACCCAGTTGCCTTGGTCGTTGTGTCACTTTCTGGGCGCCCTTCAGGCAATGGGCTGTGTGTTGATGCTCGCGCGTGACATTGTGCATTTCATTTCAGGTCCGTTCACTTTGACGTTCCATGTCACGCTTGTTTCCGGCTCAATTAGGGCCCTTGAGGCTAGGCAAGGCCGCGACTTCGACCTAGGAAACCGTGCGGTGCCTCGCGCTTTTCTATTTGATTGTGTTTGACCCCACCGACTTCGTTTGCGGTAGGGCGATCGGGCGATACCTCGATATTGGTAGCGGAGCCCGATACGCTCCAGACTCCAGATTTCCTTTGACCTGGGTGAGACTACATCACCGCGCTTTTGTTGGAGATCCTCCCCGAGGAAAAGAGTGTGACCATCTCAAAGTTCCCGCGCGCCCATGCCAGGCAAAGGAAATGGACGATCAACCCAATAGAGGCACTGGCTCAGAAATGCCGTTCACCCCTCAGGTTCGTGGCTTGGATGGTGGATTGGCAAAAGCATGCCTGTCCACGGATGGACTGACCCAGATGTATACAGAAGCTTTCGCCGAAGGTTGGAACTATTTGAGCGACAGTGTCATCTTCCAGCCCGATGCGACGAGTTCTTCACTGAGTTCAGCCGCTTGAAGATTGAAGAGACGCAAGAGGCACCGCGCCATGATGACCAATTGACGTCAAGGTGCAAATCCCAATTTGCTTGCAGGCTGGCGCCTTATGAGCCGGTCTGGCGTTGCGAAGTGGACTCACGCCCAGATCAAGGCCCTCTGCCAAGGTGAACTTGAGTACGAGAAAGTCCACAAAGAATTGATGAAGATGTTCGGCGAAGACCGTGTGCAAGCCGAATGCCAAACACATCCGTGCTGTTCTTCAATGGTTTTGGAGCTTATGGACTTATACCTGCAGTTATTAGTT